CCCATCCTGGTGCCCAAATGCAGCAGTGGGGCGAAGTGGCGTCTCCCCTCAGGCCATGCACTGCACCCCTTTAGATGTACCTCCCAGAATCTGGACACTCAGTACAAGCCTGGCTTGCCAGCCAACAGCAACTGCTGAGATTAACAAATCAATGTCACCCACTTTGCATTCCTGAACAGTGAGCAGAAAATGCCTGCTGGAGCTTTTGCAGCCTATGCCAAACCCAACACTGATGCACAACACACACACACACACCTGAGCTTCTGGGCAGCCATCCTGGGCATGCAGAGAGGCCTCTTACCAATGCCAACCAGATACATTCTTGGAAAGCACTGCACACTGTATCCTGCACAGGAATTCTGCTTGCTCCAGGGCAGGACTTTACTAGCACCTCATCACAGCCAATCAGACACCAAGCCCTCCAGAATGACTAATGATTCAGGATGGCTGAAAGTAGGAGGAGTGTGTGGGGGGTTTGGAATGGGGCTTTCCTGAAGTGGAATGCCTTTCAGAACAGCCATCAGGCAAAGGCATCTCTACAGAGACTGAAATGGCACTTTTTGTGGTTAAAATCCATGAAGCAGATTAGCTGCCCTCACAGCTGTGTCCTGGAAATATGATGGAAGCTCTCCTCTGAGTGAGAGGAATACTTTAGCCAAATATCACAATACAGCCCAGAGGCAGTACTTCTGGCCACCACTATCCATTTCCATTCTAATGAGGCAAGTAGTAAGGGGAGATACATATGAATAATTATAAGCACCTCTGGAACTCTGAAGAGTTACCACCTCAAAATGACCCTTCTTTAGCTTTTACCTCCCCAGAGTTGAATGCGGATACCTTAGTGGAAAAGGGTTCCCGTATAGGTGGAGATGGCACTGAGGAGAGCTTATTAGCATCTTTTGGTCCCCTTCCAATTAAAGAACAGGACAACATGTTACAGAGATTACAAAGGCTGATTACCACCTTACCGACATCAAAACACAAGCCGATCATAAATCAGATGAACAGTCCTGTTTAGTCGAGATGCCTTCAAACAGGCTTTTGTGGGCTATCTCTGCAATTGAGTCCATTTGGTCACAGGTTTTTTGACAACACAGAAGAAGAAGAAGAAGAAGAAGAAGAAGAAGAAGAGATTGGACTTATAGCCCGCCCTTCACTACCCAAAGGTGTCTCAGAGCGGCTTACAAACTCCTTTCCCTTCCCCTCCCCACAACAGACACCCTGTGAGGTGGTGATCCAACTTTTAAGGGAAAAATGACTGAGAATATTATCCTGGAACATGACTGGGTGGGCTGCCAGGTCAAGTGATGTAAAAAAAATTCTGAGTAGATGTGACCTAATATTACTTCAGGAAACATGAAGACTTAAGTTTCTCTCTCTGGTTTTACCTCATATTTTTTACCTGCAGCCAACACTGGGGAAAATGGAAGGCATTCTGGAAGGCTGATTTGTTTGATCTCACTAAACCTTAAAGTGAAGGTTACTGAGTTACCTAACAGTCTTCCCTACGTGATGGCATCACTACTGGAGTTTAAGGAATTTGCTATAATTTTGGTGAATATCTATCTCCCACCATATGTTCATAAATCCAAGATCTCCCAGTGTTGGACCCAGTTAGAGGTCTACTTGGGAGTGTTTGGCCTGGATTCATCCTGCGACCACACCACTTTTGACTGGAGACTTCGATGCTAGAGTTGGGGAGACAAATGAAGACCTTTTTTTGAAATGTTACAAAACTCAGGCTCGTCCAGAGGTGGTGGGTGGTACATGAGGTGAGCCAACACCAATGCTGACCCTGCTGACAGTACAGAGCACAGCCAGGCAGCTGTACCAATAAAGATTCTGGCTAGTTTACAGTCTATTAACCATTTGTGCTGCAGATGCACTTCAACAGTGGGGAGATAAGCATCTCAGCTACTGCAGCGAGAGGCAGCAACATCAACGGCACAACCCCCCTAAACAAAATGAGTTGAAGTTACACCCTGAGCAAAACAACTGGGACCTCACTGCAGCCACTCTAAGCTCATCTCATTCAAAGGCTGAAATGTCCTAAAAACACATCTCAAAACTCTGCAATCAGGAGCTTCTCCAGGACAACATACAAATGGTTTAAGCCTCCCCTGATTTAAATAAGGGCACAGCCACAAAACAGACAAAGAAGTGGATAAAGCATTCTTCACTGTCCTTGGGGAATGGCAGGTCTATGATCTCTAACAAAGTTCTCAGCACCTCACCAAACTAAAATTCCTGCACTAAAATCCCATGATCCTCTGCGAGAAGCCAGGGCAGTTAACTAATATAAAACCAATACGATTTGTTAATTGTTAAACCTTGTAAAAGATTATAGGACTGCCATTCCCCAAGGGGAAATGAACAATGCTTTAGCTGCTTCTAAGTCTGTTTTGTGACTGTGCCCTTATTTACATCTGTTATGGGTAAGCAAACACAGCTTGGCTGGTAGAATACACTTCCATCCAGTAAGTGGTGGAGAATGAGCACCGATATGTTCTTAAGGTCTCTGAGGAAGGGACACCAGCGGGAGGAAAATAGTCTTCAAAAAACCTTTGTGCTCTTTGGTCCCTCTCCCAACAGAACCATGAATCAATTGAATGGTCAGTCTGGGTTGGGAGGGTCGGGGAGAAACTTACACCTCCCAGGCAGTGTTCCCTCTAAGCTGAGTTGGTGTGTGCTAGCTCACAGTTTTTTAGCTTCCAGCTCACACATTTTTGTCTTAGCTCAGGAAGGAGGGCTCCAGAGCAAACTAATTTATGCAGCAGCCAAATGGCTTGCTCACAACTTTAATGCCGGTAGCTCACAGAGTAGAATTTTTGCTCACAAGACTCAACAGCTTAGAGGGAACATTGCTCCCAGGGGAAGGTGTTAAGTATCTTTAAGCCCAAGGATGGGAGCCACTCTCTTCCCAAGAGCCCAGAATGAAAAAGAACACTGATAAAATCCACAAACGAAGGAACATGTCAGTATTTGTAACTGTTGTACCCTACTGGTCTTAAAGCAAACAACTTATTCCAGTTTCTCTTTTCCCAATCAGAATGTAAAAGGGCTTGATTTTTCAAAGCAATTATCCCATTCAGAACTGCAGGCTGAGCCACTCCAGAAAGCCCTAGAACGATTTAGTGAAGATGCTCTATTCTTATTTCAGAATTTTAAAAAAAAACCCCTCAGCACCCACACAAAAGGATGTTTGATTTATGCAAGGATTTGTGTGCCAGGTTAGGAGATGCTGGTTCAGTTCCACTGTAGCTGACTGACCCCAAGAGCAGCACAGCTGCGCTCCAGCATGAGCCAAAGCCCAATCTATCAGCACTGCCTGAAGCACGACCCCTCCACGCCTCCAGGACGGCACACCTACAGCACAAACACCCCACAGACAACACCCAGCAGCACTAAAGTTGGGAACAGCAGCAAAACCTTGCGCCGATGTTCTCTAGGAGTGTTAAGGGGAAATGGGGCAGAGCAGCAGCTCTCTAACCACTTGGCAGTGAACGATGTCACTGCTGCAATGTTGCTACTGCAGTGCACAGTTGCGGTGGTATGGCTTTTCTTCAACCCAAAGGATGGAGGCTGCCTGTCAAACCGGAGCACCTCAAGAAAGGCTAAGAGCTGAGCACACCAACTGGGAAACACAAGAGAAGACACCGAAGAAGAGGCTAGCCATTTCCAATGTCAAGCAAGTTTGGGACTTGTTTCTAACGTGATGCATTAAAAAACTGCCACAAGGGTTCCAAGCAGACCACCCCAGAAGCCAAACTGTAATCAGGGCTCTGGAGATAACTGTGATTGGGACTGTCCCGCGCAGGGACAGAAAAAGGGTGTAGAACTCATGTGGAGAGAACAGGAGTGGGCCAGGATGTAAAAATGGCCACCCCAGCCACGTCAAGCTGAAGCTGAGCAGCCCTTCCCCTGCTACAAGCCAGCACTGCTGCTCAGTGGGCCTGACCATGGTCATTAGGTCACCAACAGCACCGTCCCCTAAGCTGGATGCAGAACAAAGTCTGAGTCCAGTGGCACCTTTAAGACCAACAAAGTTTTATTCAAGCTATAAGCTTTTGTGTGCAGGCACACTTCTTCAGAACACACAGAAGCTTCTACCTTAAATAAAACTTTTGTTGGTCTTAAAGGTGCCACTGGACTCGAGCTTTGTTCTGCTGCTTCAGACCAACATGCCTGCCCACCTGAATCAAGCTGGAAGCAGTGCAGGAAGAGACCGTTGGCGAGGCGACACCAACTGCCATTGCTAATAAGAGGTCTGGGCCAAGTGGCTTGGGCAGAACTGCTGGATCCTGGATCGACTTGCTCCCGGCCACCAGTCCACCCCTGCGAGAGAATCTCTAGTTCTTAAGGCTGAAAGTGCCTGGGAAAATCTCCTAATTGTGGGGCTGAGCATCCCCCTCCCCAGCAGCATTTCTTTGTGTCACGCTGACACTTCAGTGCCTTCGGATGGCACTATGCCCCTCCTTGCTAGCTGCAGAACCAGGATAAGTTATTTAAAAAATAGACAATTATATGCACATTTGCTTGAACAGGTTGCAGAAATCCCTCTTGCTTGGCATAGCATTCGGGCAATCCTGCCCAGAGTAATTCTTGTTTAAAAAAAAAACAAAAAAAAGCATGGAATATGCACAGCACAGGTGATTATCAGGAATTCACAGCTCCTTCTTCTTCCCACTAAGTAGTTCTAACTGTGCTGGAGACCTTTTCAGCTCTTATTCTGCAAGTGTCCTAGCAAGTTCCTGAGCTTGCCTTTCTCCTTCTAATGGCTTTGCATGTGCAGCTATCTCCTCACTAGAAATGAGAATGTTTTCTCATGCCCACCACATGGCAATGGGAGAACACAGGACTTGCTTATTGCTCAAGTAGCTCCCAAGTGAGCTAAAGGAATGAGAAATGTGACACAGCAGCCAAACCTGCATCAGAGCAACCTTCTGACCCAAAAAGAGAAGAAACTCTTCCCAGTTTAAGCTGTCTGTTTTGCAAGGTACACAAGATCTTTGGTGGTGATACTGAAGAGGCCCACTGTCAGTAGCTGCTGCTTACAACATAAAGGTGGCCTTAGAGACACCCAAGACGGGCTGACCTCAGTCCAACAGGGTGGTCATTTACCAGCTGGGGAATCAAGCAATGGATGGCCTTTGACCATAAGTTCTGCAAAGTAACTGGGCTTCCATGAGATCCACAGTATGGAACATGCTGGCCCTTTGAACATTCTTTCCTACATCATTAAGCCTGGGCTGGAGGTAAGCCTTCCTTCATCCAGATGTCACGGATCTTGCATTTCTGTCAGCTCCCACATTTCGTCCACACAATTCCAGTTCACGTCTAGACCATGATGCAGCACTGTCTGTTCCTCCCAACAGCAGGTCCTCTTGTCACTGCTGCCTTTTCTTTAAATTATTTAGTGTTTAAAAAAATAGAAACTCCTCTATTTCCTAAAAAAAATTGGAAGTCAGTCTGCAACACTTAAAAAAACAAGAGTCCAGGATTTTCCAATATACCTTTCCTCATTTGCCGCATGTAGCAGCAGGTGGAGCTAGAGGCACACAATGAAAAGAAACAGAATCCATGAGTGTCCCTTATTGCTTTGTAACCGCTCAGAACAAAGGCATCTTGGGGGGGAGCAGCAGAAGGCAGCCTGTGCAGCAGTCAATCTGCAGTGAACGAGAGAAGCACCATGACGGTGATGCCTGTGCAGAGGAGGAGAACTTGCTGCACCGAGTTCCTAAGCAAAAGGGAGAAAGAGAGAGAGAGAGAGTGTTCAGGCTGAAGACCAGGCACAGTCTCCATTGCTGTCTATTAAGACCCCATCTCATCATTGAAAAGTTACTTTCTAACACAATAAGAACAATAAAGGCACTTAAAAGCATAAAACTAAAAAGCACTAAAAACACCATCATCAGCACATGTAAAAAACTGACACTGTTCTTTTATGCAGACATCACAACTAAAGCTGTGTTTGTGACAAGCAGAAATGCAGCTTGCTACACTCCTCCCTTCCCAAGTGGAATGTGATGCTTTCATTCTGGTTCCGAACCCCAGATGGTGGGGAGGAATCACACTCCAATTGGCCCACATACCCATGTTTGGACACCCCAGAAAACTGGGCTTCGACTGAAGTTTTCCAAACCCCAAGATGCTTTCAATCATACTCCACATTCAAAGGGAGGGAGGAGAGAGAGGAGCATGCAACTACAGAAACAAGCTGCATTTATTTCATGCCTGTCAAAAAAAAACATGTTTGCTGAGACTTCTGAATGTAATCTAAGTTCCAAAAGCCCAGAAGAACAACAAAGCTTTGGCTTGTTTTTTAAAGTCACAATTAGCAGAGGAGGCCCTGCTCTTAAAGGACATTCATCTAATTTCTGACAAGAAGATGCTGGTTGCACAATGCTATCAGGAGAGCTCAAACACAGATTCCACAAGAAAGGATGTTAAGGCAGACTGAAGACAGTGTTGGTATCTTCAAGAATAGCACCAATGTGTTTAATTTCACTTCAGAATAAAGTCAGCACTGATGAAACATAGTCAAAGCGGCCAGAACAACTAACAGCTATGTTTTATACCAAACGACATTTCCAAGAAGAACCCCACAAATTTACTGTGCTCCACCTATTCTTGATCCCCCTTTTCCCTTTCCCCCAAGATATTACCTCTCTTTACTCCTCTCTTATACCACTCCCTTGTGCCTGCATCATAATGGACCATGCAGCAGGTCTCAAGTTCAGCCCCTGCCATCTTCAGTGGAAAGGTCACAGGTAGCAAGTGCTAGGAAATGCCACTCTCACCTGAGACCCTGCAGAGCTGCTATCAGCCAGAATAGGCAACACTTAGCTAGATGGTCTTGGGTACAAAGCATCTTTGTGTCAACTGACATCCCAACACAGTTCCCTAGAACTCAGGCTAGGATGTGAACACACACAAAGACTTGCACTGAGAGTCCCTGGGGAGACCTCTTCTTGGTGCAGCCAGCCTCTTCCACTTGAGCTGTGCCATTTGCATATCACTAAATATAGTTCCTTGAAGACCTATCTGGGTCCTAAATGTTGCAAACATTTTTGAACACATGCCAGTTGAGAGCACAAAGGTAGTCACTGAACATGGTAAGAAGAAAACAGTAGAATGTGCAGAGTTACAACAGCAAAGGAGAAACAATTCACATAACATCAAGTCTAATTATTTCATTTATCCATTGTTTTCTCAGTGGAATGCAATTTTCCTTACTCTCTACGCTGAGATTTTCCAAGTCAGTTGTTACCTGGTGAAGTGGGCTCTGGCCCATGAAAGCTTTTGTCATCAGACTGTAAAGAAAAGATGGGAACAATACACTGAAGAACTATACAGAAGAGAAGAAAGGATGACAGATCCCTTCCAACAAGAAACCTTTGAAAAAGAGCCTGCAATTTTAGAAAGTGAAGTGAAAGCTGCACTGAAAGCAACTGGGAGAAACAAATCACCAGGGGTAGATGGATATTAATAAAGATATTTCAAGCTACAGCAATGGAGTCCATCGAAGTCTTAACAATATGCCAACAAATATGGAAAACAAAACAATAGCCCACAGACTGGAAACAACAATCTACATTCCAATTCCAAAAAGGGGATATCAAGGACTGTGGCAACTATTGAACCATTGTATTAATTTCTCATGCAAAAAAAAATCAATGCTCTAAATCTTACAACAAAGTCTGCTACCATATATGGAACAAGAAATGCCACATGTTCAAGCTGGATTCAGAAAAGGAATAGGCATTCGAGATTACACTGCAAATTTACATTGGTTACTGGAACATATGAGAGAATTTCAGAAGGAAATCAACTTGTGTTTTACAGATTACAGCAAAACTTTTCTGTGGATCATGAAAAGCTATGGTCGGCATTAAAAGAAATGGATGTGCCACAATATCTGATTGTTTTGATGCATAACATGTACTCTGGACAAGAGGCTACAGTTAGGGCAAAATATGGAGAAGCAGAATGGTTTCCAATTGGTAATGGTGTCAGACAAATAGTTTATCTCCCTATTTCTTCAACTGGTCTGCAGAACAAATCATAAGGAAAGTTAGATTAGATTTAAATGAAGGTGGAGTGAAAACTGGTGGAAGGAACATTAACAGTCTGAGATATGCAGATGAGACCACTTTACTGGCAGAAAATAGTGAAGACTTGAAATAACTACTGATGGAGGTTAAAGCAGGATGTGCCAAAACAGGATTACAGTTGAACATCAAGACAATGACAACTACTACTACACAACTTTAAGGCTGACGATGAAGAAATGGAAATTGTTCAAGATTTCCTGTTCTTTGGCCCAATCATAAACCAAAAGGGAGAATGCAACCAAAAAATCAGAAGGAGATTGAGACTGGGAAGGGCAGCCATGAAAGAGCTAGAAAAGATTCTGAAGATAATCCATACAATAGTATTCCCCATTACTATGCATGAGTGTGAACACTGGACAATGAAGAAAGGTGACAGGAGGAAAGTTTAATCCTTTGAAATGTGGTACTGGAGGAGAGTTTTACAGATACCATGGACCACTAAAAAGACAAGCAAGTGAGTTCTAGATCAAATCAAGCCTGAATTCTCCCTAGAAGCTAAAGGCTATCATACTTTGGTCGCATTATGAAAAGATAAAAGTCACTGGAAGAGACAATAACGCTAGGAAAAGTTGAAGGCAGCAGGAAAAGAGGAAGATCCAAAATGAGACAGATTGGCTCAATAAAGGAAGCCACAGCCCTCAGTTTGCAAGACCTGAGCAAGGCTGTTAATGATAGGACACTTACCAGGGATTTTTCTCCTCCAGAAGATCAGGAACAACATTTACCAAGGCGATGTACAAAAATCCCCCGGAGGTAAATGGAAGAATCCAAGCGATGGTTTCCCCTGCAGGAAGAGTACAAATTGCACCTGTGACGGTGAGGTGGCAGAAGGCAGTTGCAAGCAAACAGGACAGGAAAGGAATGAAGATTTGGCCGCTCACCAACCACCTTGGTCTTACCTGTCCCTTTAGGAGACTGAGCACAGATTGCAAAGCAAGCTCCTAAAACTCCCCCTAGAGCTGTAGAAAGCTGCAACTTGGCTGCACTCCAGCGATCAAACCCAGCACGAAGGAGGATAGCAAAGTCTCCCACCTAGAGAAACAGCAAAACAGGCTATGAGAGGTTGGCAGGACTGTAGGACAAGGGACCAGTGAATGTGATTTCTGAATGTGATTTCTGATATTTCTCTTGACATACAGAATGCCAGCTGCCACTGTGCCTTATTAGCATTTAGCCTAGCAAGAGGAGATTTAGAACGGAATCAATTAGAGTATTATTTTTAATGGTTAAAGGTCCTTTTTTAGAGGCAGAAAATAATAGAATGGAATGTATACTTTGAAATTATAAGCTTCCCAGCTGAAGGACATCTTACAGCAAAGTTATGAGATGGAAAGACTCTGAATGTTCCCAAAATAATATCTTTCTTCACAGAGCTAAGCTGTATGCTTCTTATCAGGGAACTCCCCATTTTTAAGTTAAAACAAATAAGTCAGGAATGATGCCAAAAGAAGGCCCCTTTGTTCATTGCTGTTCTCCACTGTTCCGGGACCAGATAAGCAGACGTAATTACTGACACTTATGGTCAACAAAGGAATATGCCAATAGAGAAGTGCCAGCTCAAATGATGCTCTGATGATGATACCTGTTGGACACCAATTAGGGATTACATTCTGTGTAAACTGTCATGATGTCATTTGGGATATAAGATCTATTGCTCTTCCTGATTGGGGCAGAATACAGCTTGGTGTTACTGGGTGCCAAGGTATCCAGTCCTGTATTTTCCTGATTATTGCAATAAACAGATATCTGTCCTCTCCCTGGACTCCAACCATGTGTTCCTTATTTGGCCCCGGGAGCACACGGGGCACAGATTTGTGCATGAGGACCACACTGAAGCTCAACATAGTTGCAAACTATGGGACTTCTAACCCCCCCCCCTGGTATAATGGTTAAACAGAACCGCTGAATACCAGTTACTAGGACCAGGTAACAGGGAAAATGATGGTCACCAAGCTTTGCTTGTAGACCGGGGGGGGGGGCGACACACACACTGAACCAGCTGCTCTCGTGTTCTCTGCCAATATTGCCATTTTCACTTCCCCTTCCTGCATAAGTAACCAATATTAACATTCCTAGTTTCCCAGTTAAACACGAGGACAGGTCTCTGGACAAGGAAAACAAGCAAAGTCGTATGCTCCAGCTTTATAGGAAGGAATAGCTCTTCCAAGTCAAATGGCAGGTGAGAAGAGATATTAACCTTTCATCATCTCCACCACCACCATGAGGATTTCTTCACATCGTTATTTTGCTTTTGCTTTCCTACCCTCGCCCCATTGTGAAAATTGAGATTGGAAGACTCTTGCATTTACAGTCCAAAGCTCCTGAACTAGGCACTGAAGGCACTATACAAGCCCATGCACTCCTCCAGACAAAGCCATTTGTTCCACTTCTCAGCAAGCACATTATAGTCCTCACTCACCTCATGGGGTATTTCATGCAGAAGGATTGCCATGGTGGTCAGGAGCCCGACCTATAGGCAGTGACAAAAACATGGGATAAGACAGCCGCTCCCAGGACTCCCAGACCCTTCCTCATACTGACTGCATTTGAGTCAAAGGGATACTGTGCTCACATGCATAGTGAACAGCACAGTTCCAGTGCTCAAAGCACTGAATGCAAATTAGCAGAAGGTTTCAAGGGCTTTTGGTGTGAGATTATAAGGGAGGATACG